TGCAACGCCCGGAGGCTTCTTCCGCCAGGCTTCCTGCCCCGGCTCTCTCCAGCCCCTGCGGCATCGCCACACACCCCCCTCCCTGCCTGCTGCACAGGCTGCCCCTGCCAGCAGGGGAGTGCGGGTGCTGGGTGGGCACTTACAGAGGGGAGAATTGGGGGCATTTCTCTAAGGCCTAGAAGGACCAAAAGATGCCCATGGCTGCAAAGCAGCCAGCGAAGTGACCTAAAGAGACCACAGCGACTGGACACAAAGGCAAGAGGATGCACGCGGGAGAGGACTAGTTATGGAAGCTGCCGTCAGTATGAAATGTTACCTTCTAGAGCGAGCTGGAGAGATGATAACGAGGACTAGCCATGCAGCTGGAGGCAGTGGTGAAGTCTGGATGAGGACCTGAAGGAGGAGAAGAGGGGATGGTCTACAAACTGTGATTTGTCTACAGCTTGAGAACAATAGGACCCAGAAAGCAACCCACTAAATACAGGTTGAACGTGGTCACAAGGACAAGACAAAGGAAGAAATTTGCTAGCCCAGGAAACGCAGAATTGATGAAGTTTCCTGCAAAGCAGGTTGAGATGGAGAAGAAAGCAAGCCAGTCTCCATAGATCAAAGAGGTAATGCAGGCAGCTGAGAACCAGAGCCCAAGGAGCAAAGAGGATGTTACACAGGTGATTGGGAAAGATAACAGAAGATGGAGTGACCTGCTGACAGAATAGTGCAAAAGGGAGAGAACCTGAGACTCTCACCACCACCAAGAAAACGTGAGATCATGATTGAGAACTTTGCAGTAAGATGAATCTGCAGGTCCATCACCAGAGTAGACCAGAACAAGAACACACAATATGCACGTGAGCCTGAAATGATGCTGATGTGAGAAGAGAAAAATGCACCAATGGTCTGCATGCCAGGACAAACACTAGCAGATTCCTGCCCAAATGGATTAGAGATGACCATGCCAGGCTGCATGTGTTCTAACGAGCAAAGGCTCAGTTAATCTGCAGTAGAACTCCTTCAGTCCCTAGAGAAAAGTGGAGAAGGCATGACAAGATGATGAAGATCAGCAGATAGATCAAAAATTGGTTCAATGAAGAATGTTTTGGGGTGTTCAGGATAAATTCCTGAAAAGAGGATTCTTTTTAAAAGATGCACTACCCCCGAGTCCGTGGGGAAATAACTTTCTGGATGTGAGGCTGTCAAAGTCCTTTCCTTGAGGGTGTTGTCTGTTATCCTTGGCCCTACTCTGACTCATGCTCTTAATATATTCCCTCTTGCATTCCAACTTTTAGTCAGGTCAGGATGGCTTGCCCCTTTTCTGACAGCTCAGTACTTGATGCTTGGAGCCAGCAGCACTAGCTCTTTTCTGCTCTTTTGGAGCCGACTGACAGACTTTGAGGCACTGGAACCACCCCCAAGGGACTGATGCTCTATGGCCAAGCCATATGCTCTGTTGGTGCTGTGCAGAGAGGGGAGCTTCTCACTGGAGAAGCAGGAATAAACTAACCTGAGAAATAAGACAAAAAGGAGGCTTCCATGCCCATGACAGTGAGCCAATTGGGTCCCACACCCCAGGGTCCTGGCCTCTAAAGGTCTTGTTCCATCTCTCCTCCATCCTTTCTAGCCAGCAATGCCTCAATGTGTCAGAGGCAGACTGAGAAGGCAGCCTTTAATGTAACAGGGCTAGGCTCACTTCTTGCTCCTTAGCAGGACAGACACCTTATAAAAGCCTAAAGGAATGTCCTTCCAAAGGACTAAATCTTTTGTGATTACAATAACCACCCACAGAAAGCCAGCTCTTCTCAATGGCAACAATAACCATCACTCAGAAATGGGAGTCTCTCCCTTAGAAATGTGTTCCCTCACCTACCACTGCAAGCTGCTCATCACCTTAACATGCTCCCCTCTTTAGTTGATCTGTTCCCCATCTCATCCCCCATATCAAGGTTTTGGCATTGCTAGTTACTGCCTACTCATCCTATATGTCCAATAGAGACTCTACACTTTTGCAATAGCTTTGAAAGGAGTAGATTTAAGCACAGCTGCTTTCCAGTCTGACCACTTATTTATCTTTCCTGACACTTTTGGAAAGGAATGGGAAGGGTGTGTTGTATTTCCAAAACAAAAACAACCAAAAAGAAGAGGTCACATGCTGAATTCACCAACATGCAGCATTTTCAACATTGTGCAAAGGTAAACATGAATACAGTAGCATGCTGCATGTCCGTAATGACAGATTTCTGACCATGGCTGCTGTATTAATTCCCTACCATGGTCAGGATGATCATGTTCAGTTTCAGTTTTCAGTGGAAAACACCTATATCCTTTTCATTCTTTCTGGATTTTGCCAGCAGTCATTACTTGCCCATCAACCCTTTTGCCTGCCGGTGCTCAGTCCAGTTTCTTTTTTTCTATGTTAATGATAAGCTGTAAACATGAATGAATAAAAGCTGTGGACATGACGTGAACCCTAATGCCATGCTGATTTTCCATTCCAAAGGGTGCCCTACAGTGGTTCTGAGCCTTTCCCTTCTATTCAAGCTCACTCTGCTCTAATAAACCTGATCCAACTTTCAGTGTAAAATATTGCCATCAACTTCAGCGGGAGCAGGAATAGGCCTCAGGTCTCCACAATATTTTGAACAACCAAAAAAAGTTTATGGGGCTTGTCTCTGTAGTCTTGCCTTATATAGCAGTATAGTGGAAGGGCAGTTCATCCCTAGAGAAGGAAGGAAAAGCCCAAGAACCTAGAAAATCACTATAGTTAAGTTAGAGTCACAAGTGTGTAAGGGATGTCAGAGCTGTAGCTTTTAAAGGGCCTGCTTTCACCAGAAGACACTGTTCCTATCATCTTGATCCAACCCTGCCTCTAAAGAGCTGACTGGTCAGAGAAACCAAACACATGACAACTCTTTCAGTGCATTCTGAGGAGGCTTTAAACTATACTGACAGAAGCAAAGCTTGCCTGGACCCTGGTTTTTCTCCTGGTCAACAGCAGATGCTGGTTGTCTTCTGTGGGACTGCAGGAATGAAACACAGCATGGCACAAATTGGTTCAACCTTGTTGGTCACCTTCCAATACCATGCATGGCATCTGGTCCAAAATTCCTCCTCTAGTCCTGGAGTGGCTGTGAACATTACTAATGTAGGATCCAGTGCAAAACAGGTTAATAAACAAACAAACTAGTTTTGAAAAGGCCTGGAAGGAATCTTCAGTAAGCAGAAAACCCAGTCCAGCTGTCTGCTCCTGGAGGCAGAGAATTCTAGGTATCGTTTCCAATAAAGGACCTATGTCTGCTCCATGCTCAAGATTCTGCTGTTTGTATCTTGCAAAAGGTAGAGGAGGAAATCCAATTAAGACTCCTGGAGAGACAAGGGTCTAGAGAAGGGGATAAAGGCAACACTTGAAAGAAAGACCTGTACGGGAGTTAAAGGTCAGGATGGAGACAAAGATCTAAGTTCAGCTGTCAGCTTCATCAAAAACTATCTGTGAGCAGAGGCAACACAAAGGGCTTAAATTTCCCTCTGCACCCTGATACTTACTTACATGGAACATGGGTATAACACAGTACTGACTCAGAATGGCATAGTGACATTCAGTTTGCACAGATGTGATGGGATGCAATGAGTATCTCTGTCTTAGATCTTCAGTCAATAAGATGGGGATAAAACAGCATTTCCTACCTCCCACGTTTTCTCTGCACAAAGCATGAGCTCTCACAGGAAACATCTACTCTGCACAAGTACAGCATCTTGTAAAACAGGTCCCTGATCTGGCCCATGGTGCTATTAAAATACTCGTAAGAAATCCACCGTTGTCCTTTGTGTTAAGAAGCAATCCATTTGCATGTAGTTTTTTTCTTTTTAATGCAAAAAAATAACCAAAACACATCTTCCTCCGCTGTCCCCACCCCTGGGTCTATTTAATTTGTTGTCGTCTTGTTTAATATTTCCAAACAAGCAGATATTCCCCTACCCCTCCCAATTCTCTGCAATTCAACAGCTGAACTGAGCTCTCCTCCCTCACCTCACAGCCAAACAAAAGAAATCTGTGAAAGAAATGGGGGGGGAGAGGCAGTCACACAGCTAAAGTAGCAAGCCAGTCCTAATCCTGCAAATTAAGGGAGTAAAAAAACAAAAACACCAAACATAGCAACTAGCATGGTACAGTTCCCAGCGTGCAGCATAAACAGAAGGTGCTCCTGGGCCCAGAGTCCAGCTCCCCCAGGAAGCAACAGCACAACACACGCTTTATACATCCAGGAGGTCAGCATTAGGCTAAAGGGAGGGCTGTGTTTTCTTTTCTTTCTTTCTTTCTTACTCAAGTTAATCTTTCTCTTTTATGCACAAGGCTTAAGCAATCTCAGTGTCTTACAAAAGCATCTGCAATAAAAAACCTAAAGGGTGAGGGAGGGGAAAAGGAAGAGGCAGGATTTGGGTTAAATAACCCAAAACTGATAAGAGCAGCTCAAGGGTTTTTGCACCTGGCAGATCTGGAAGGGAGAACAAACCAAAACAAATAAACAAAAAAAAAACAAAACAAAACCCAAACCCCACCTCCTGTGGGGTAGGAAGAAGGACTAAGAACACGAGAACAAGGGTTGTTGCTTTCTCCATCAAAAGCAAATTACCAGCATAGTTGATAATGAAGAGTTAGACAGAATTCCCTTCCCTGGGGAAAAAATGAAGATGAGGTACTGGTTTCCCCCAAAGCAAGAAGCACCCCCTTCCCAGGCAGATCAATGCTCCAGTTACTCTGGGAACAGTCTTCCCACATTAAAATTGTCCTAGCAATGATCAGGTCTGGACAAGAAAAGAACCCCCCCCCCCCAACCCCAAGCATGCAGACTGTCCCATTGTGCATTCTCAGGAAGAGGAAGCCTTTGGTCCCCTTCCTGGGGTCTGTGGGGAGTTTAGGCAAAGAAATTCTTCCTCCTCCCTGCAAGCAGTAGGTTTTGTCCATGCAGAAAAGGAGCCTTTTCCTTGGGTATACATGTTTCTCCAGCTTTTTTTTTAAATAATTGTTAAAAAAAAAGAAAAGAAAGAACAAAACCCATGGGAACTAACAGGGTGGCTGTAAAAATTAGTTCGACAACAACAAAGAAAGCAATCCTCCCCTTAACCATGAGATTCGCTTTCCTGGCTAGTCCTCCAAGACCACAATCTCTACATTGTGGACCTGGTGCTGATGGTCCTCAACCTCTGCCACCACCTTCTCCTCAGTCCTCAGCTCTGTTTCCAGAATCACAGCTTTGGCTTCTGACTCCTCAGTCTCTGCTTCAGGATCTGGTGCTGGGTCTATCTCTATGATGGTCTGTCCATCTTCTGTGGTACCCTCAACAGCTTGGATGGCAGAGGTCAGGCCAGACTCCATGGCCACCAGTTCTACCGGGTTCACCACTGCAGCCATGTTAGCTATGGCACTGCTGTCCTGCATAGCAGCTGAGCTCAGCAGTGCCAGGCTGGAGGATGGATGAAGGGTCACAGTGTCAGATGAGTTAGTCTTGGAGGATGACACCACAGTGGTATACCGGAAAAGCTGCGAGCCAGATGGCAAGGTGTGAACAGTCATCGGGCTGGAGCCCTGGCTGATGGTTGCCACTGGGATGTTGCCTACTGAGAACTGTTGTCCCATGGGTGCAATGGCAATAGGCGATATGACCGTGAACTGAGGCTGCTGGATGGGGGTAGAAGGACTCAAGACCGTGGCTGAAGCAGGGCGCTGCAGGCGGGGTCTTTTAGGGGGCTTTGGAGCACTGACGGGCATCAGCACCACATTCTGGATAGTCTGAGACTTTGCCTTCTGATCCTTGGCAAGCTTCTTCTGCTCCTCCAGCTGACGTTCCAGGTCTGCAAATAAACCCAGTTACAAAGCATATTCAGATAAAGCTGGGATCACCGAGATCACTGGGAGATACTTGAGGCCACCAGGAATAGCTGCAGTCATGTACTTTTTTTATTTTACAGTGGAGCTCCCCCCAACCCAACTGCAAACCAGTAGGGACAAAAATCTCCCTTGAAGCACAAGGCAAGACTGATCACTGCCCTCAGCTTATGCAAACATTCACCCAGGTTTGCTAATGCCTCACACCTCCCCGGCACCTGCTTTGAGCCAATGCAAATGTCTGCAAAAGCCAGAGGCAAAGGAAGTTCCAAACCAAAAGCCTGGGCCTTCCTCTCCTTTGCAGAGACATCAACCTTTGCTTATCTGCTCACATCCCCCATTTCCACTGTGTGGGAAATGGATGCCATTGCAGCCCAAGTCTGTTCCAGCTGAAGAGCAGACAACTTCTCCAGGGACAGTGAGTGCCAGCTCCTAGCCTTTGCTGGATGTCAGCTCAGAACAGACGGCATCTGTATGCTGCCACAGGGGATGGAAATGCCAAAGTCTCCCTCAGACCTCAGCGGCTCACTACAAATGTATCACTCATGGATTCTCAGCTGAGGTAAAACTAAGAAAAACAGAGGAGGAAGCATCTTAAACAACCTTGGATTAAATTTCCTCAATGAATAGAAAACACCAGCCTAGTATCAGTTGTGCAGGATTAGACCAAAGTCCAGCACAGCTAATATGCTGATGTCCGCGGTGGACATGCACACCCTACTTCCTCTGACCAACTGCTCATCACTGAGCTAGGGATTCTGAGAGATTCATCATTTATCTTCAGGATGAAAGGGGAGTCAAATACGGAAGTTTCATGATACAGCATTTGTAACATCAATTTACAGTGCTGCATGAAAGCACCAGCTGTTTGCAAGATAAGGATAACTTAAGGTTTTAAATAAAAAGGAACAACACGTTGCTTTGCATGGGTTCAAATGTCACAAGAAGGACAGGTCATGTCGGCTGCAGAAAGCAGCGAGGGGTTTCACTGATAAACAATTCCCACATACTGGTTGTACCTGCTAGAGTATAAAGAAACTGCTCTTCTCCCTGATCCGTCTGGCTTTTCCTGTTGTCCAAAACTTTCTTGACAGTGTCCATCAAGCCAAAAGTGTGAGCCACATTATTTAGGACTGCAGCATCTGCAAAGAAACCTCACATGGATTACTATCCAATTCCTTACGTGGTCTGAGAGTCCAGTCAAGGAGCTCAGAAGGTGAGAACCTTTTTGAGATTTACTTATTGGACTTCACATTTTCTGGGACTTTCTATAGAAAGGGCTTACTTTTTCCAGGAGTGCAATTCCAGAAGTCCTGGGTGGCAAAAGACTTCCCACTGCCTTCTCCCCATAACACTGACCCCCATCAGTTCCCAATGATGGAACAATCCCATTCATTACATAATAGATAAGAAAGAGATGCATTGTGGCAGCAGCTCAGAATTCCTATAAAGTAAGCATGGTTTGCTTACACAAATCCATCAGCTCTCTGCCCACAATGCTGGCACTGTCATTAGTTGCTACAGAGAAGGTTGTAGCATGTTTTTTGTTGTGTTTTTTTTTTTTTTTTTTTT